GGTCATGAGTAGGATGTCTTCTGAGTTTTAGATATTGCTTGAATGCTAGGCTTACAGGCTGTTCCAATCATAATAGATTCTGACTACAATAGACTTTGGACTAAACTGACAAGCTCTAGTGGGTCTTTTGAAGGTCAAGGATAGTCCAAAACATATTGGGGATGACACCTTGTCTATCCTGATCCAGGAGCAATTTCACTAAATTGCCTATGAAATTTGAATATGCTCTATTCTAGAAAATGCCAATCATGTCAGGAATTAAATGGAGTGTAAAAGGCAACAGAATGAATTTTGGAAAAAAATACAAAATTTTGGATTTGGCTGGACAAGAAAAAGCATGAAGTACAAATGAATTGCACTTAACTTCCTCTTCATTTCTACCATTTCTGTAATACTTTCTCATCTTTTATCCTGCAACTATTGAGTGGTGATATACGGTCAATTAGTGGTGGAGAATTACATTTTCAGAAAAGTAAGTCATGGGAGAAAACAGGGAAGGCTATTTTTATAAAAAGATTAAGTGTCTAGTAAATTAGTGAAATCTAAACTTATTCTATGGTTTAAGAAACAATTTATAACTAAACATATAACAATGTATTGTTTTATTTTACTAGATAATTTTTTAAAAATGACTTACTTTTAAGGCAAGCATAAACAACATTACATTTTCCAAAATATAAATGTTTTAGTGTGTAATCCTATACTTGCCTATTTAGATTCAAGTCCCTTTGAGTACAGTGTTTTAAGCTGCATTTGATTTAGAGATGGTGAATTTCCTTTATAGGGTGTTTTAGGAATGCCCAAAAGAAGAAGATTATCAAGATATAGTTCATTCCGAACAGTTGATGATATAACAGATGAAGACTTAGAAAATATTGCAATTACAGTTAAAGATAAAATCTATGATAAGGTTTTGGTAGGTAATTGTTTTCTTTATATACTTTGGCTAACATACATTTAATTAATACAATGCTTTAGATCAAACCAGTTTTTTACCCTCTTTATGTTCATGATGTTCTTTATGTATCTTTCCACTTATATAATGATCAAACTGCCACAGTATTATTTGTATTGGTTCAATGACATTTTCTTTCACCTTCCCATGAACAGGGTAGTGTTAATCTTCCCTACTGTCATATTGTACTGTGAAGTATTTAATATTTTAATTACAGTCTATAATTATACTGATGATTCTTAGAACACAGACAATAAAATAACTACCAATAAGTTATTTATCTTGTCAAGGTATCAGGAGAAGTGCTTGCCTCAAAAAAGAAGTTAATACTTAACTTCTTATCAGGAATGTAAAGCAAGATAAAAAATAGAATAGAGATTTGGAATTGCTTATAATGCTAAGTAAAGTAATTTTTGCCCAATAGTTATCACTATCCAGAATGAAATTAGTGTGAGCGTCAGATTAAGTTTGACGGGCTGGTTTTAGTGTTGCTGTCTTGTAAAACCTGAAGCATTGCTACAGCATTGTAGAACTAGTGCAGGCTTTTCAAGCTCCACTTATAAATTGGTATTCCAGTCCAGTTCAGTGTATTAGCTGATTCATCCTGCATTATTTGAAACATGCATTTTGTATTGGGAGTTGTGGAAAAAGCTTTTTCATATTCCAGCAACAAAAATGTGCAATTACTTATGATTTTGGAGAATAATAATTTGTAAAAGTCTTTATAAGGATGATATGAACAGGTTGAAGAAAAACACCATGTTTATCTCCAGATGCATTGGAAATGGCCTTCTAAAAATAATATTATAATTTATCTCAATTGTGCCAATATTAGGGAAGCACATGCCATCAGTGTCGACAAAAGACAATTGATACAAAAACGATTTGTCATAATGAAGACTGTGGAGGTGTGCGGGGACAGTTCTGTGGGCCATGTCTTCGTAATCGCTATGGAGAAGATGTGAAATCAGCACTTCTGGATCCAGTAAGCCCCCAGTTGCTTGAGTTGTGGGATGTACAATGAAATGGGATATACAGTGAAATTATTGGTGATCTGGTTGCTTTTTCTATTACATATGCCTTCAGAAACAAGTTAACACTGTATCTTTATGCAGGCACTAATTTTGTGATTGCTGTGCTTATGTGATAACACAAAATATTATTTATAAGGTGAACTAATACTCTTCTCCCACTTTTAAGGAGTGGCTGTGCCCTCCTTGCCGTGGAATATGTAACTGCAGCTACTGTCGTAAACGTGATGGTCGTTGTGCCACAGGAGCACTTATCCACTTGGCAAAGTTTTATGGTTACAACAATGTAAAAGAGTACCTTGAAAGGTAAGCAGATACCTAAAATACTGAGTATAGGGTAGTTTGTATTAGAAATATTTCTGATATTGTAAGTTCTATGAAATCACTGTATGTAATAGTCTAATTTAGTGTGCTTATTTTACTTGTGCTTTATTTATTTAGATTGATACCCCATCCTTTCTTCAGGGTGGTGTACCTAGTGCTCCTTCCATTTTTCCCCATATCAAACTACCCAGTGGGGTAGGTTGGGCTGAGAGAGTGACTGGCACAAAGGGTCCCAATAAGCTTCCATAGCTGAGGGTGGACCAGATTCTGGGTCTTCCCGCTCTTACTCCAACTCCTTCCCCACTACAGCTCACTGGCTTTCAGAGCTGGGTGAACTATTCAGAGAAATGATTAGTGAAGCACTACTCTCAGTCTGCTGTTGGAGGTGTCACACCACATCCTCCTGAAGATTTAGGCAGATGCTTCCAGGGTCTCCCTTTGTCATTTGAGCATACATATGAATGCACAGGAGACCCTTAAACCAGGACTGCTGCTAAAGCAAAGCCCTAAGCAACAGCCCAAAGGCAAGGGATAGTGGGACCTGTAGTTTACAACCTCTGGAGGGGCACCATTGTATATCCATGTCTGTGATAACTGTTGAACACATCATTATTGGTGCATATCTTCTATAATACATTACTGCTGCATCCATGAGCAGTTACAGATGCCACAAAATCCAGAATGAACAAGTGGGAATTGTTTGCGTTTTGTGTTTTTACCTGTTATTGGGTTCAAAGTAAAACCCAGGATTCTCTCACATACTCTAATGTTTGGTGAGATAGGAATCCCCAGTATCCTGTGGCATCGTACCTCAAAGTCTACCACAGAGGTTATGGGTAAGTCTGATTTGTTTGTGTTCATATAACTTTTCTACAACTTTTGCAGTCATACCGTCGCACAAGTAATAATTCTATTTATCTGAGGTTTTGATTATTTGCTATCATGTCCAATATTTTTGCAAAGGTTGAAAGAGACTTTCAGTTTGAAAAATAGTTTTATGAATGCATTTAATGATTTTGCTTTTTTTCCTATAAAAACCATACCCTTTTACCCTTACCCTTTAGACTTACCCTTTCCATTAGAAGCTAGAACAACACACTTAGTGTGATTATAACTCTCTGAAATGGAGCTCATAATAGCTACGTCCTCTTTCTTAACCCCCAAACCTTCTGCTTTTTCTTTTACAGTTTGCAAAAGCATCTTGGTGTGGATGACTGAAAATACCAGATATAGCTATGTGAATTTTAATCTTGGTGATTTACGTATACTATTTTTACTTAAAGATTTAAATCTTGAACTCTCATTCATTACCATTATGTTGAAATAATTTCAAAAATGTAGAAAATAATCACTTTTGATCTATTAAATATTTCTGAGGACAAAGGCTGTTAACATTGGGAACTGAATATGTCAATTTTAAAAAGCCAGTGCTAGAGCAATATTTTTGTGCATATAATAAATAATATGGTTTCCTACTGTTTAAATTGTTCATCTACAAAATAATTCTCTTTCGAGTCTTAGTTTCACAATCTAATTCTAAAATATTACACCTTATATTATATCTAGAAATAGTATATTGACTCTCATTTAAATCAGTGCTTCTCAGACCTTTAAACTTCTGAAGGCAAGCAACCCAAATTACCCTTAATTCTTCTTTCCACACAGAAAAATGATATAAAAAGCCCAGTATTGTTTGAAATTGGAAGGGCATAATGCAGCCCAGTTTAACTCTTACCAATTGAAAACAAATAAGCATTTAAGCTCAGAATTGGTCAAATCCTTTAAAAAGAGGTGGTTTGGAAACTCATCTGAAGCACCTCTTTTCAAATCATTGAAGTAGCAGTGTCCTTTCTTAAGGTCATGTGGCTATTTCAGAAGCTGCTTCCCCACTGTCACATCCCTTAATTTTTTTCTCCAGCAAAGTTAACTAGATGTGTATGTATGCCCATTGCAGAGCCAGCTGGGAGCACCTTCTGAAGTCCAGGACAGGACATGGCTGCTCTAATGATTTAAAAAGAGGTGCTTCTTAAATGCCCTCTTTTGAAGGACCAGCATGGTCT